CGGCGGCGGCGGCGGCGAGTGATAAAAAAATAAGGAATGCATTTTTTATGTAATCAACCGACCTGAGTCAACAATGATGACGCCGAGACTTCCCGCGCCTTCCCCCTCTGCCGCGCCTTCCTCCGCCCGCGCCAACGAGTACCCCCCGTGTCCCGCGCTCCCCTCAGAGGACCTTGGTTAGAACCCGCCCTATACCCCTACTATCGCGCTCGCGTCAAAGTTCGCAGCGTCTTCGACCCATTGAAATTTGGCGTATGGCAATGGTTGACACATCGCTCATCCGTATATATTGTTAACGTCGTAGTACATCAAGTACGACGACAGTTCCGAGGGTCGTACGAATGCATGTACTTGTTATTAGCCTGCGCATATCTGCCTGAACATTGACTGAGACCACCGCGTATACCGCGCTCGATGATCGTGTCAATATCAGTGAGCAACTCAAACTTTACACGCGTATGTTTGAACATATGTTAGCGTCCCACGTGAAACCAGGGAAGGTGTAACAATGTGCGGGATCGAGACCGTAACTCGCGACGCAACTTTCGCGGAAATTTTCGAAAATGTCGGCTAATAACAAGACATCGATTTTCAAGTACAGATCACTGTACTCGCCGAACGTTTGGATGGAGAATCGCTGCCATACGTTCGCCGCGTGAGTGTAATCGCTCTCGGATACGGTATCGCCCGTTAACGAACTGTAAAAAGATTCGCGCGGCGGTAAGCGCGTGTCCTGCAATTTTTCAGCACAGTCAACGTACTCGTACGGAAAGACACCTTTACGAGTCAGTAATTCAAATTCATCATCCGATAGTGTTGAAAATTTTGAACGTATAATTTTTAATTTGTCTTTATCGAGATACGACGCTAATTTATCGAGACTTGTACTGAGAAATTTGAAAGAATCAATAAAACGTAATTTTACACAATTTCTTTGAGAATTATTTTCAGTTTTATCTTTAGTGCTATCGACATGTTTTGTGAAGGAGATGTATTTTTCTTTGGTTATCGGTAATACATCTACGCGTCCTTCATATGCTGTAGCGATTTCCTTAATTATAAAATGCGCGTCGTAGCCCGATAAATTGTGGAAAACGATCGGAATGTATAATGAATTTTTATAATTTAAGTTACAGCTTGAATGCGCAGGACCGCGGTATCTACCGGTTAAGTGGCAATGATCGCGTACCCGCGTGTCGTCCGACGCGAACGGTTTCTCGCAAATGTGACAACGCGTCGCGCTACGGTACGCCTCCCATTGTTCTTTCGACAACGTTTCCATGGGCACGTTGGCGGATACGATATTTTTCACGCGATGCGCCAAATCGTTGAGTTGTCGCGCGAACCACGCTATACAATCTTTGTCGCGACGGAACTGATACGACGATAACGCGTCATCGTACGAGCAACGCACGTAGTAGCTTATGCTGAATACCTCATGCCATTGATACGCGTACGATGACGCATCTTCCCTCTCGGGTTCCGTTTTCCGTAAAACGCACTCCAGGTCGGCGTAGACAACGAATGGGACGCGCTCCTTGTTGCAGTGGTTCCCAAATTCGAGCCACTTTTCGTCCTCGCTCGGCAGCCGAATAGCGCAATCGTTGATCTTCTGGCAGTCCATTGTGTGCGACTGCAATTTCTCATTCGTGCTGAAGTAATGCAAGCATCTGAAAAAACAAAAAATTATAACAGTTATCTATATTTTATTAATAAGATGGGAAATTATAATAATTTTTTAAGGTGTACATACCGATCGCAGAAATATTTCTTGTGCTCTTTTTTGCTTAGTTGCGAGCTCACGAGACGCGACAGGTTCTTGATCCACGCAAAGTGGCCGACACCGTCGTGCTTGTCCTTCTTGTCACTGGTGAGCCGCAGAGGAAAAACTTGTTTATTCTCGATGCCGTATACATTGATCGACACCGCGTTCAACCGTTCGAATTTCGGAATGTCTTTGAACGTTATCGGAAATTCGATACCCGCGAGATTCAGCACCGCCGTATAATGCAGATACGACGACTCTCGCTCCACATGCTTTTCAGCCGGGTACAGAGCGGCGACCACCGACCACGCGAAGCACGCATTGTCCATCGTATTAACATTGATCACCGCTCGTTTCGTCGCAATTTCCCGCGGCACTTCGAAGTAACATCCCGCGCGCATGGGATTTAATTTGTTCACATTCACTATCAAATTGAGGATTCGCGACAATGCCCACCCGCTGTCGCGTTCCTGGAACTCTTCGAGTGATGTTAACGTGGGTTCGATGATATGCTGCTCGTACCACTCGCGCAAATCGGTATATCGGTATATCTCGCTGTTCTTTGAAATTATGCTCTTATTAGCACGTTTATCCTTCGTCGCAAACTCGCCATTGAACGCAGTGTTTACTTTTGCACTACTGTGTCTTTCTACGGCATCTCGCACACGTTCGCACACGAGCACTATTTCTCTCGCGTCTTCCAAAAACCGCCGCGGCTCGATGTAATCGACGTTGACCACAGCACCCGTCGATATACGGCTTTCAAACGCGGCATCGATCTCTCGCCAGACGAGAGATCTTTCGTCGCGACTCGCGTACCACTACCAACGTGCACGAAACGTCGCTCTAATTGTGTCTTTGCACCCGCGAGTCGCGCGATCCTCGCCACCATGGATTGTCTGTGTCCAACGGTAAGGCGCGCGCTTGGCACGACAAAGCTCTTCGAGCCGCTCGATGCACTCGTCGCATCGTTGCAGCCACGCGAAACATTCCGCCAGAGTAGCGACCTGACGGCACTGCTCCAACAGTTCGCGTTCCACTCGCTCGTGATTTTCCATGTTTTTTTCTTTAGGTCACACTCTTCCACAGAACACTTGCACGTGACTCGTTCACACACACTGCAGCGTCACGACATATCCAGAAAATCATAATGTTTTACTACTTCCCGCGTCTTCCCCCTCTACTGCGCCTTCCTCCGCTCGCGCTCCCCTTGCGCCTACGAGTAACCCCCGCGCCACGCGCTCCTCTCAGAGGACCCAAGTTTGAACCGGCCTATTATTCCTATTCATAGCTACTGCCTTATCAGTTCGTTAATTGTGCGAGTAATATTTAAAAGTATCAAGTTCATGCAGGTTATTTTTTGTGTTAAAAAATACAACATTTTTCCATTCTTCATATCAAGTCATATGATTTCGAGCAAACTTCAATCTCGCAGTTTTATGGTCTTGAGTATGAGGAGGCATCAAGGACTTTAAACCTTTATCTTGTTGTAGTATTTGTAACCAGTTGTAGCACACGTTGTGTACAATAATTAGCTATTTCAAAATTCTTGCTACTTCGCCGGCAGTTTTATTCCCAGTTCGTATTTCTTTAAAATTCATGAATGATCACACCTATTGCAAGTTTTGTACTTCTGCCTGTATAATGATTTTTATCACAGTTGTTTCACGCAATCTCAAAAAATTATCTATAGAATTATTGGATCAATTAATTTATTGACGACCTCTCGAACAGAAATGTTTGCATCACGGAATGCTTATATGTATTTTTACTTGTTCTTCTGAACTGAAAAACTTTTCTCGTGGCATTCTGGTAGAAGAAATTTATTTTAAATTATTTAGAAATTATAATATTATTCTCTTAATATACTTTCCTTAAAAATGATATTTCTGGTTTAATGATAAAAAACAACTATATATTAACATTGTTCTTGTATAATAGAAGAGATTGGGAATAAAGTGGGCACCGAGTCTAAGCTGGCATTTGAATTTTGAGTGGCAAAAATATATCTTATAAATTCCCAATTTATATATTGTAGATGGTATCTCGTGTGTGTTTTTTACTAACAAAATTCGGTTAGTTTAGGTGCCGCATTTTTATGTTTAGATAGTCAAATGTGTTTTTGATAGTGAAAAGTAATTTTTTGAATGTTCGGACAATATGTAT